TTTACGCTACTACACACAGACTGAAAACATCAAGCCGTTAAGAGTAGCGTGTAGTGAGCGCACTTTTAGTGTGTTATGTGGGTGTTGCGATAATATTCTAGATTAAATCGCTGTGCCACTGTGAGGTAATCTTAAAGCTGTACTCATTAAAACACATGCAAGCCTGTCGTCTGTTCGTTCAGTGGTTGTGGAACGAATGCTTTTAGGATGGATCGTCACTCACCGCGAAATCTTGCGCATGCGCGTATATCGAATTCCTAGCAGGGATTTTCACCTGGTCTGCGGACTGTAGGCTGTACTGAACGCCGTAGTTGTAATCGACGCTTCCAGTGTATGATTTCTTAAAATTCCTGTTAGTTCGTCAATATCAGTTTATGCCCTGACAATCAGCTTCAGCGATCTTATTTATCGATCGCTAAATCAGACTGCAACATCCCAGAAGACATGATCATGGCCCTTAGAACCTGAAGTCTCGCCTGTTATCATTCAGTTCTGAATGTAAGTGTCAAGCTTCCATTCAGTGACCATGAGAATAGCTTCGTATAATTATTCATGCCCACTTATTTTGACATGTAAATACTTGGCAGACCACATCGGCTCATTTATTTTTAGGTCTGCATTCCTGGTCTTGTGGAATTGACGATGATTGTCAAAACGTACAGATAGGAAAAGCCAAATATTTGAAAGGACTGCGCTGAGATTATCCTTATTGCGGCAGGAGAGCATAACTTAATCTTCGACGAACGCGGTGCTTAACGCAAATCAACGAGGTTCTACGTATGTTATTCCTAACCCGATTGTGTGACACTTTATACTGAGATGATAGTATCTGACTCTGCCGGCAGATGCTGCACAAGATTGGTAAACATGGACAGACCATGGGCACTGGAATTTTGTATAGGTTATGCAATTCTTCCCTCTTTTCATTTAACTTTCGGTCTTTGCCTCCTGTAGTAGTAAATTCATACTCATAATTCCAACTTAATGTGCATGTTTAGCTGGAAATGCACACCAAATTTTCTTTTTCAAACACCAGATTAAATGTAGATTGTTACGATAGATGGCATGATAGATCAGTGACGTAGCGGGCTATTGGCTTATTTTTGGTCTTCTGCAGCCATGGCGTACTGTACGCGAGTTTTGCATCGCCAGGTTAGCTAAATTACTTACAATTTTGATAAACGTTTGCCATTATATTATGTTTATCTCGTTATATAATATTATGTTCTGCTCCTTTGTTTGTTATGTCTTGTAGAATATCCATTTTCACCTTTACTTTTATCCATAATTAGTAACGTTTGCGTAATGTATTGACCGAAGTTTTTTTTATTGTTATTTTGAGGTCAATCGTGAATACGGGCATATTTGAACCATAAGCAGTAATAATAAACATTTTATTCCCAAATTTATTCTTTGTTGTCCAATGTTAGGTGATGAAATTGAGTCCAGAAGATTGTTTTTGAAGCCTGTGTTAATATAAAATTTCTGTGGTACTGGTGTAGCAGATGAATTAGGATGAGGAGACCATACCATTATCAGTACTGTTGTGTAAAACATAGAAACAGTATATTTCCCTTTAAAATGTTTGCAACATGCAGAATATCCCATGAATTAAAATTAAATTTAATAAAATGTGAATCTGATCATGTAATTATTTTCCCGTTACAGTATTACAGTTGTGAGCAATTGCAACTTTGTCTGATGCCCTATGTATGTGTGTTGTAGGGCCCGTGGTTGTTTGCCCTAGAAATCCAACAGCGATGTTTCCATGTATCTCCACTGGCTGCAGCAGTCAGCAAGGTTGCCATGAGCAAATTTGACAAGGAGACACTCCCTTATGAAAAGCTTCTGAAGAACTTGGAGATTGTCAAAAAGAGGTATTATGTGAAATCTATTTATAATGTTTCAATGATAAATGCATAGAAAATGTCAGTTCTTATATATATTTTCATGTAACTATCTGAAAGTAGGATGGGAAAAACAAGGTTTACCGACTTCTTGTTGCTGAAAGTGCAGTCAGACACTTCTTAAAGTGATATTTGCCACTCAGAAGTCTTGCCTGCATCTTAAAATTTGTTTCACATAAGTACTTTTCCCTCAAGGCTAATATTTTTAGCAAATGTGGCATGGCATTTGTATCATCTGCGGTGTAATGGAGAGACCACGTTGTATGTTAAGATAATGTGTATCCAAAGCCCTTACTTCTGTAAATAAAATAACCCCATTTGTGATTTATAGATTGAACCGACCTCTCACTCTGTCAGAGAAAGTTTTATACTCGCACATCGATGAACCTGCAACGCAAGAAATTGAGAGGGGGAATAGTTACTTGAGGTTAAGGCCTGACAGGGTGGCCATGCAGGATGCTACGGCACAAATGGCTATGCTGCAGTTCATCTCGAGCGGTCTACCACGAGTAGCGGTGCCTTCTACCATCCACTGCGATCATCTTATCGAGGCCCAGGTTTGTAATACAAATCTTTTGAGATTGTGACCTGGCACTGTCATTCCATTTCGTGTAAAATATTTTAATGATGTTAGTAAACACGCTATGTTTGCGTCTGTATTTTGCGGTAACTGTGAGCAACTGATTCAGCATTGTGAAGAACGTCAAGTCAGAAGCATCGCGCGTCTTACAAAGACGTGGAGAGACGCAACTGAAAGACTACTCATGTAAAAAGAAATGGGAATCTGTTTACATGAGTTTGTAGAATTTTTGATAAATTTCCACGGTACTGCCATGCCCACGCTAGCTCAGCCCCAATAGTTCCTGTCCGGTTGATACTGAGGACTCTTTACTTTGGGGATAAAACTGATAGAGTGTGAAGTTAGCCGTTGACCTCATTTTAGTGAGGCTAAGATATATGCAGTTTCACAGAGACTCTCGTGGATGTCTTCATGGGATGGTGAACGAGCAAAGGGAGAACTTTATGAGAATTTTTGAACTGAAAGTGTGGAAGCAAGAGTTAAATTAATTAGTTGTTGTTGTTGTTGTTGTTGTTTTTTATATATATTTATTTATTGGTGTAACTTAAGGGGGTCCGCAGTGGCCGCGCGGTCTGAGGCATGGGCCTTGTGCTGCTTGGTCGCTGGGACCATGGGTTCGAATCCCACTCAAGCCGTGGATGTTTGTCCGCGTTTTTCTGTGTTGTGCTGTCCTGTGTGCAGGTAGAGGCCTCGCGACTGGCCGATCCCTCGTCCAAGGAGTCCTACCGAATGTCTATAGATCAAGTCAACGAAAAGTTTGGATCCGCAGTGCTCAGGCACTTGAAGAACGAGTCGTTCCCAGTATAACTTAAGACTGTATTGTGTTACATCGCTGAACTTTGCCCGGGTGGCTTATTGATTTATACAATACTGTGTTTATTAGCAGTTCGCTGTTGGTAGGTCTGTTGATTTTGTTTTCGAGTACTACGGAAGCAACAATTATTATTACTGCATTTGGTTGTCTTTGATTTTCAGACAGGAGGTACAAAAGATCTGGCACGCGCCAAGGACATAAATGAGGAAGTTTATAAGTTTCTGGCTTCTGCCGGTGCTAAATATGGAGTCGGATTCTGGAAGCCTGGTTCTGGAATTATCCATCAGGTGAATATGAAATATGTGATAACATGATGCAGATATTCATTCATTGGTATTAATGTTGTTGAGAAACTTATATTTAACTGTGTGTGTACATAAGCGCACTTATTTCTTTATAGGTATTGTATTTGTGTATTTACAGAGCATCCAGTGTTGTCAAAAGTATATATAAAATTTCTCGGACCAGTCTGACGATTTATATATTGTAATGTGATAACTTGACCTTGTCTTGTGCTTCAGATCATCCTGGAGAATTACGCATTCCCCGGTCTTCTGATGATCGGTACTGATTCTCACACGCCGAATGGCGGTGGCTTGGGTTGTCTGTGTATCGGCGTAGGTGGCGCCGATGCTGTGGACGTTATGGCAAGCATTCCTTGGGAACTGAAGTGCCCTAAGGTAGAGTATCACTTTTCAGGAACAGAATCTATAAGTTGTAGGTCACGTGGCACAACACCCCAGAAGACAGCCATTTTCACCGTGAGAATATGAAATCTTAACTGGATTTAATTCTTATGGTTCCAAACAAGTACCGGTGGCAGGTTCTTGTGAATATGGTAATGAGTCTTTTGATTCCATAAAAGGTACGACATATCTTGACTAGCAGAGTGATTCTTGAGATCTCAAGGAGGCTCCACGGATTTCGGTCTGACGTGAAGACGGTAGTGATGATCGGGCCTTATTGTACGTCTACGAGTAGTGGTAGATGATATACAGGGTGGGTGGGAAGTAAGTAGGCATTAAGAAATGGTTATAACCTCTGTATTTCCAATGCAAAGATAATGAAAATAATTTTTACATGTACCTTTTTAAATGGGAATATGGACGCATAGCTTAAAATTCAATATAGGCACCGGCGGCATCCACCAGCTTCCTCAAACGACCAGGGATGGAATCCACAGTCTTCTGCAGGAAGTCGTGTGGGACATACCGAATCCGTGCCTCCAATTGTTCCAGTGTGCGAGGTTTTTCTCGGTACACCTCCTCCTTTGTCCAGCCCCACAGGAAAAAGTCACAGGGCGTGAGATCTGGACTTATTGCAGGCCATTCGTGAGGTCCTCGTCATCCCAGCCAACGTCCCTTACTGTTCGCTACTGTAATCTTGAGAGTTGCAAGGAATGCATGAAGTCCGTAGCGTTAAAGGCCGACGTTATCTTTCCTCCTTCACCACACTTCCTCGCCCTGCAAGATTACAGTCGCGAACTATAGTTCCTGTTTTTAGGCAGTTCACATACAGCCTAGTGTTGTTGCTCTGTGATTTTATTTGTAATGTTCCCTTTTTTGTATTTTCAGTTCTTTAACGATCTTGCAGTATCCTGGTTCCTTGTATCATTGAAATTTTTGTGTAGCTTAAGTTGTCATTCTGAGACTAGAACTTTGGCAAAAACTCTGGTTTGACAAGGAAATTAGATGTTACGCTAATGTGTTGATGTTCTGGGATGTAATACCTTGTAACTTTTTAACCTGGATGACCAACATCAATGTTTTCGTTGTCACGAGAACCTCAATTCTCATATTATGCTAATGTGTTTGATTAATTACAGGTGATAGGTGTGAAGCTGACAGGGTCACTCAGTGGATGGACGTCACCCAAAGACATAATCCTCAAGGTTGCTGGCATCCTGACGGTCAAGGGGGGTACTGGCGCCATTGTGGAATATCACGGTCCTGGCGTTGATTCCATCTCCTGCACAGGTAGAAAATAGTGCATACTGAATTATGTTATTGTGTCAAAATATATTGAAATATTTTCCTGAATATAGGAAGGGTTTTTCTCGGTTTTGACCCGTCTGGATTAATTTTTTCTCGGTTTCCAGTTTATATGTTGGTATGTTTCCTCGGCAAATGATCCAGAAGTGGTTTGCCATTGCCTTCTTCTTTGTGTAATTGATGATGAGAATGGAATAATTGTTGGGATGCCACGGAGAAATCGAGCAAGCCCCGGAGGAAAACTCTGTGTTACCTGGACCATGGCCTTGCCCAACAGAAGTTATAAATCCGGGCACCACCGGGAATCGAACCCGATAACTTTGTAATTGATTTCATAATTAATATTGTGTTATAACTGTAATGATGTAGGGATCCGCAGTGGCCGCGCGGTCCGAGACGTGGGCCTTGTGCCGCCTGTTTGCTGGGACCCTGGGTTCGAATCCCACTCAAGCCATGGATGTTTGTCCGCGATTTTCTGTGTTGTGCTGTCCTGTGTACAGGTAGAGGCCTTGCGACGGGCCGATCCCTCATCCAAGGAGTCCTACCGAATGTCTATAGATCGAGCCAATGAAAAGTTGGGACCTGCGGTGCTAAGGCACTTGTAGAACGGGTCGTTCCCAGTATCCCAGTGATGATGTAGAACATTTCAACTAGAACACTTGCCTAGTGTTGGATTTCCCTTGGACACAATATATCAGTCCCCTGAGGCCGAAGCTCATCTAAATATTTAAAAATTCAGCTCCTACCTCAAAGAGAACATGGTGCATTTCTCTTACAAAGATCAGTTGGTTAATGGTGTTTAGGACAGTAATTGCTGCTTAATCATATAATTGAAACCCTGATGTGGTTGAAATTGGGTTTTAAAGGGTTAATCCACATAGGAGTAGTAATAGTATTCCTCCCTCTTGTCATTACTATAAAAGTTACAATTTTCTTTTCTTGGTTTTTAGGTATGGCCACCATTTGCAACATGGGGGCAGAAATTGGAGCTACCACGTCCCTGTTTCCTTACAATTTGCGTATGAGGGACTACCTCAAATCCACTAGGAGAGAAGACGTTGCAAATGAGGCTGATAAATATGCAAAGAACCTTCTGACTGCAGATGAAAATGCCCCTTACGACCAGGTACTGTTCCTCGTTACTTCGTAAAATGCCGTGTCTGTAGTTATTTATACAAAAATTACTTGTTTGCCTTTGAGGATGATTACTTCACGTTTATAATTTTGTATTCTGTAAAGGGATAAAAGTTTATATTTTAACTTACTTTCCTGGTAAGATAAAATGAACGTTTTGTTACAGCTAATTTACGTAAGTCAAGTGTCTAGTTTTAATATATTAATTAATTGCTGTGTGAGCACTGGATATGAGTTTGGATCGACATACAACTTGAAGTATTGTATAAATACAGATCTAGCTTCTGTATAATTCCATCAAGGAAATGGACCAGAATAATGTACATTTAATAAATTATTTAATTTTCCTATAAATTATTTTTTCACTGCATAAACCTGGTCAGTAACTTAGACTCTTTGTTATAGTTCATACCAGTTTAGACAAAAGCTTCAGTTTAAATATTTTTTTTGAGCAAAGCAAATGTTGGGTTCATTTCATTTATAGCTTATTGAGCTTGATCTAAACACCTTGGAGCCCCACATCAATGGCCCCTTCACCCCCGATTTGGCCCATCCCATCTCAAAGGTTGGAAAAACTGCGACGGAGAAGGGTTGGCCTGTTGAGATCAAAGTTGGTAAGAGATTTGTTATATTTTATTATATTAAAGTGACTAAAATACTGCTTGATAGATGGAGGAAATACCACCCAGATATCGATGTTACCTGCGAATATTTTGAATAAATAGTTAAGATTGCCAACATGTGATGTTCCTCCAGCAAGGAAATAGGGTGTGCCAAAATGAAACTAGCATATTATGAAATGTCACAGATTTGTACTGTGTAGAAGACTAAACGGCTGAGTGATGGATTTTTACCCCTCAAGCCGGGTATTTAAATCCCAACGCTCCTACCGCGGGGGTAACATCTCCGGTACTTAAAATTTGCCCGGATCTTTAAAATGCTTTTTCTTACAAAACTGCTTTTTTCTGTATATACTAAATCAATCGTTCTGAAAATTTCAATACTGTCTCTTATTGTATTCATCGTTATAACAATCAGTAAGAAATGTATATTTTTAAGTGTAGACTTACCACTGGTTGCGAGTCACCCTATATCTGGTAGGATGGTTGTTCACCTCTGCTTAGGCATGTGAACGTGAGGCCAGCAGCCAGCTAGTCGGCTTTGGCTCTCTGGAGCTGTTACGCCACGGATTTATTTATTTATTGATACAGTCAACAAATAAAGTAATAATACTTTTTATGATGCTGTGTCTTGACTAGAAGGCTAATAGTATTCCTGATATTTTCTTGGCAAATGGGACCCTCGCTGTTGAATGTAGGTGTTTATTTTACAGGTCTCATTGGCAGCTGTACCAATTCGAGCTATGAGGACATGGGTCGGTGTGCTAGCATCGTTAAGCAGGCATTGAAACACGGTCTGAAGTCAAAGATTCCCTTCAATGTGACCCCAGGATCTGAACAAGTCAGGGCTACTATTGAACGGGACGGAATTGTAAGTTTGAATAAATTTTGAACTTCGCTGATCTGGCATCCTTTAAAGCGTCAGTACGATTAATACTGGATTCACAATGACTGTACCCAAAAAAAAAAAAAATAAGCATAATGTTTTCCTTTTTAAAAGATGCTATCTCTTTTATTACTGTTGACACACCGACGACCAGTTGACCGATCGCTTCTGTAACATTTTATCAGTAATTTCATTTTACGGCAAAGTCATAACTCACGAGCCAGCTGCATACTTGAATACTTTAAAAAGCTGGAGCGCTAAGGGAATGTATAGCACTGTGTATTCACACAATCACCAGTTTGTCATCCGCTGTTACTGAAGCATAACCTGGCTTTCTTTATACTTAATCCAGCACTTTGGCATTGAACAGGTGCCATTTTGTAACTGATTTCTTTCCTACTTTTAGGCTCAAACATTAAGAGATTTTGGCGGTACTGTCCTAGCCAATGCTTGTGGTCCGTGCATTGGACAGTGGGATCGCAAGGACGTTAAAAAGGGCGAAAAGAATACTATCGTTACATCGTACAACCGAAACTTCACCGGCCGTAACGATGCCAATCCAGCGACTCACGCATTTGTGACATCACCTGAGATCGTGACAGCTCTGTCCATTACAGGAACCCTGAACTTCGACCCAACAAAGGATAAACTGAAGGGATCAGACGGTAAGCAGTATAATTTTTCTTTTTGTGTGCGTGTGGAGAGTCAGTTGTTTGGTGCACTTTGTCTGGACGTATGAAGATGGCTATCTTCTGGGTTGTAGTGCCAATGTAGTGAATAGTGTGTGAGATGTGACTTGGATTTCTAGCAGTAAGGAATTTCCGTAACAGCATTTTGACTGCTTGGAGAAATCCATGTACTAAGATGTTAAAGTACTTTGTAATTCCTGAACTAGTCTTTTGCATGTTTATTGTATCTTGCCTGTTTTTGTATTATTATTATACCTCTCCTTGTAACAGAAAATATTCCCTGTATTGAGGGAAACTTTTGATTTATTTTATTTGTACTGTTATTAATGTCGTCTGCAGGGACTTGGACATATTCGAGACGAAAGTTGTCACACTTCTTCACGTTCTATAATAGTATAATTTACTTAATTGATTTAAATAATTTTTACAAATATGCTAATATATTTAGTTGCAATTTTCTTGTGTATTAACGTCCCCCGTACTAAAGTATTTTTATATTCTGCTTGTTTTACCTTTTATGTTTTTATTGTGTTCGTGTTCTCATCTCTGTCGTGAGGAAATTGGGGAGCTACAATGGATAGAGTAATCCGGTCAGGAAAGCTAGCAATGGCTGGGGGTTTGTCGTGCTGACCACACGTCACCCTATAACTGGTTGGATGATCGTTCACCTCTGTTTAGGCATGTGAACGTGAGGCCGGCAGCCACCTAGTCGGCTTTGGCTCTCACGGATTATTATTACCATTTCATTTATATTAGGGCTACAAAGTTTCAAATTTATCTTACCTATTAATTGTGTGTAAAAGGAAATTAATGAAAGTTAATGTTAATATTTTGTAGGTAAGGAATTCATTTTGGATTCACCATATGGAGATGAGCTGCCAGCAAAAGGTTTTGATCCCGGTGAGGATACATATGAAGCGCCACCTGTAGATGGCAAAAAGTTGAAAGTGGATGTTGACCCTAAGAGCCAGCGATTGCAGCTTTTGGAACCATTTGATGTTTGGGACGGAAAGGACCTCACAGACCTCACCATTCTTATTAAGGTGCTGTTTTACTATTGTAACAATTAATGTAATCTAAAGTGTTTTATAATTTTTTTATAATGTTTTTCCATGAGAGAAGTTTAATGGTTTTTCTGTTCTGTCATGTTAATTCAGGTTAAAGGAAAATGTACGACCGATCACATTTCGGCAGCTGGACCTTGGCTTAAGTACCGTGGTCATTTAGACAACATTTCTAATAATATGTTTATTGGTGCAACAAATTATGAAAATAATGAGATGAATAAGATTAGAAACCTGCAAACAAATGAATGGGGATCAGTTCCTGAGGTAGCACGAGCGTATAAGAAATCCGGTATTAAATGGGTGGCTGTTGGAGATGAAAACTATGGTAAGTTAATTACTGGATCAGTTCTTGTCTTTAGTTGTGGTGAAGGGATTATATGTGTTAAATTAGAGAAAGTGTTACTTGAATACTTTCAGAATTATAAGAAAGTTCCGAAATTAACAGAACTGTTTTTAGTATTTTATTGTACTCATGGGATTGTAATGTTCTTTGTTGAATTGTAGGTTTACATGAAAATGTTGGTAGCCACTAGAGAGTTGATCAGAGCCGTAGGTTTACATGAAAATGTTGGTAGCCGCTAGAGAGTTGGTCAGAGCTGAAGTTCCTTCCGGCATATCGGTGAACTTACGATATTTATTCCATTCCCATCTTATGACAGGATTTATTTTGAATGTATGTTATCTTTTCACATGACGTGTTTGCAGGGGAGGGCAGCAGTCGCGAGCATGCTGCTCTGGAACCCAGACATCTTGGTGGCCGTGCCATTATCGTCAAGTCTTTTGCCCGTATTCACGAGACAAATCTGAAGAAGCAGGGTCTTCTACCCCTGACATTTTCAAACCCCTCAGATTATGACAAGATCCAACCCTCTGATAAGATATCTTTACTCGATCTGAAAAGTCTTGCACCCGGAAAGGTTTGTCGTTTTAATTATGTGGAATGAATTATTAGGGTAGTACAGAGTGCTTTAGTTTTACACATCATCTGCAGGCAACTCTGCTCATTACGTACAAATATTGATGATTTAATATTGGGACTTGCAAAATGAGGTTGACTTTGTCTATGGACCAGGTAGATGAATGTTGAGAGACGGGGATTTAAGGAGTGAATAATGCGATTTTTTCTTATGTTACAGCCAGTCAAGGCAGAAATTAAACATACTGACGGCAAAGTAGAAGGTATCTCCTTGAACCACACGATGAACGAACAGCAAATAGATTGGTTCCGTGCCGGAAGTGCCCTGAATCGCATGAAACAGATTGCTGCAGGAAAGTAAGCACTGTTGCTTTATTATAGGTAAGCATTAGAGAAACTCTGCTGGTGAAACTCCTTGCCATGTTTCCCACTCATCTAACTGAAGCATCACATCAGATTTACAGTGGATCTTGTAATAATGATGTAGAATGCTGCGGGAATTGACGGCTGGTGAAGACACAAATAAGGTTAAATTTTTACTTAATCTTATTGCTGGACGTCAGTGTTTATACCGATTGCCTTTTAGTTAATGTGATTATACTTGATGATTATTACATCACCAACGGAAGAGCTTTTGATGAAATTCATAGGTGAAATTAAATTGTGGTATAATATTAACTTAGGAATTCAGCAGAATATCATGTAGATGATCCATATTACAATATTAGAGCATAGAAATTTTACTCATGACTCAGCTGCAGTGGTTTACAGGGGACGACGGAATTCTCAGAGCATAGAAATTTTACTCATGACTCATCTGCAGTGGTTTACAGGGGAAGACGGAATTCTTGTTATGATTTCAAATTTATTTTGAGGTAAGATATTAAAGAATTGTGCTATTACAAAACATTAATTTGTGTCATAATTGTTATATGGTGAAGCTGAAATTTTCTGCGTGGATTTTCAGGACTGTGTAATGCCAATGTAAATGCTAGTCTCAAATATTTCACAGTATTTTTAGTAGAGCTGCAGATACATGGAGGTGGGATATGAATTTGCTATCTGATGTACCTGTATTCTATTTGAATGCGAGTATTAAAATGTAAATACATTGTATATGCTGATAGTATTTTGTGAATAAATACCCTTCTTAACAGGCTTGTCTGACTGAGAATGATTGTTACTTTTTAAACAGAATATACCTCAAACTCGTGACTTTCCAAGCAACAGAATATACAAACCCTCTAATAGATTAAGATTGGGTGTTGAAGATGGTATGGTTGGATTTTTTTTATTGTGAGCTGCCAGATGTTTGTCCAATCTGAAATGTGCATAACCTGTCCAGCTTTTTATAACATATATTTAAAGTACTAAGTATAGTAAGAATTCTATGAAAATGTTAAATCTGTTTTTATTATTAATTTATGTCAGATAGAATAGTTTGACAAAATGTGAAAATAAACATCCAAGAAGTTGTTTTTCATGTCGTTAACACTGGTTTTCTCTGAGCTTGTATAATGGCACGAAACTGGTTATGATAAGCAGTTAAGATGGGTTGTGTAGCGCTCTCTCCTATCTTCCTCTGCTGTCTGCCTCTCATCTGTTTGTGTTCTCATGCCTATCATCTATTTCTGTGAATTGCTTATCTACCTATTATTATATGCTGCTGTTCTCTCTTGTCCGCTTATCTTATAGAAAGTAAAATGGATGAGAATATGGATGTCTTCCAGGATACTGCCCTGTGTAGTCTGGTAGAAGTTTACTGACATTTCAATTTCTTCCTGCCATCATCAGGATAATCACCCTGAAAC